CTATGGTTACATGGGAAAATGCATCTAAGAATATCGTCAGAGAGAAAGAGAGAGGGAGAGAGCTCTCCTTTCATGGCTGCTCTGATGAGAGGAAAAACTCTGACGTGAATTTTCCTACCTTTCTGCAGGCTGATTTCAGCAGTGCGGTTCTCCTCGATGAGTTTGTATTTTTCAATTTTGCTGTCCAAAACTGTGATGTTTTCGTTCAGAATAGCCTACAGAGAAAACAGAAGCTTAATTAAACACAAGTTCATAACCGGGATGAGGTTGTTCGCACTAAGACTTTAAGGTGTGGCTGTCAGATCTCACGGGCGTGTGAGTGAACGCCGCCACCTCCAAAGGTCAAAAACAAGGCCACAAAAATCAAGCCAAAACCTCTTTGAGTTTGAATACAATCTAACACCCACGTTTTGGCAGAAACACAACAACCCTAGGAACAATGTGAAGATTATCAGGAAAGTTTTTTTGTTTTGTTTTTTTCCAGGAAGAGCTGGGATTGATATCTTGGCAGGAGATGTGTTTAACGTTCGGATCATTTGATTTGGCATATATTTGCATAACTCTACAGATTTAACTCAACCTGACCTGTTCTCCACTTCCCATTGGGGCTCATTATGTAAAACAAAACAGTTTCATATCTAAGTTTCAACTAAAATAAAACTGAAAGGCAGTTTTTTTTTTATGTCACTGTAACCTATTGAGGTTAAGGCTAGAAGAAACCCAAATAAGAAGATAAACTCACAATTTCTTGCAGGCTGTCATTCAAAGAGATGTTCAGAGACTGTATTTGCTCCTTGTACTGGTCGATTTGCTTCTGCAAAGTGGTCTGGTTCCTCCATCCCTGCCTCACCAGATCCTCAAGAGCTTTTCGGTCTTTGGTCCACACGACTTTTGCCCCTTCATGTCTCTCCCTGAGGTCTTGCATCTCCGTCCGACACTGACTGGCTCCTTTCATCTCGGGCGAGGTGGCCCATACCACAATAATGATAAGAGAGATGATGGACCACAGGGCCAGGCAGGCGATCACAATGTTACGTGTGGTCTGAGAAGATTTGGAGCTGGTCATCTTGAGACACGCAGGCTGGAGATGTCCGAGAAGAACAAGCTGGTGGGTGCAAGTCTGGCGAGAGACTGTCTTCTAAGTGGAATGAAACTTTTAAAGCCTGGGTTTCCCCTCCAAGCTGAGCTCAGGAAAGGGGAGTGGCTCTGCTCCTGTGATGGGACCTGCCGTCCAGTTCCTCAGCCCTCCAAACACACGGATTGCTGCAACGTGACATCAGCTCTAGAGGTTATCCTCACCGTTAGTGGGAAAAACCAAAACTGTTTTTACTGAAAGACCGTGTTTCAGTTTCCATTCCTCAGTTCAGGGGAGTGTCCTGGCAGGGGTCCCGGATCTTAGGAGAGCGTGTTATCTCTGCTAGGACTTACTCTGAGCGTTTTTAACAGGAGCAACTCAGTGTTTCCTGAACTTTTGCCAAGAGTGTCCGTGCCCCTTTGAGTCACACAAACTCACAAATACAGCAGCTTTTAGGAGGACTGACTGTATGAAATCTTCTATTTATCTCTATATAGATGATATCCGTCACTCTTTGAATAGATAGACTGTCTGATATGTAAATATTAAAACTTCATAGACCTCACCCTCAAGCGTCCTCTGCTGGTTTAAGAGCAGCACTTCAGAGCTGGTTGGAGTTAGAACAGACCTTCGAAATTCTGCTGCTCAGTGTTTCCAGCAAGCGATGAGTCATCAGTTGGGGGGTGCTTACATAAATAGGGTGGCGGCTGTTTCCATGGGCCGTGGCCCCCTTGTATTGAATTCCTGCGTTTGAATTATGAACTCTTGCAAGATTCTATTGCATTGTGAAATAGATTTTGTCAGACTTGGGAAGATTAATAGCATCTGGCAGTTTTGCACAGTTCTGGGGTGGAAGATTATTCATTGTTGCATCCATCCATCCATCCATCCTCCGAACTACTTCATTTAATAAAATAAAATGTACAATATACCAAAGGTAAAGTTTTAACCTTATAAAGTCTACTGCTTCATATTTGACACGAAAATTTGTAAGGCCTCTAAAGGATCAACATGATGAAAACTTTGCTGCAAGTAAAATTCTTTATAAGTGTAAAAATGTCCACCTTCAGGTCATACATATGTATTTTTGTTGTGAATTGTTTACTAAGTAAATAAAAAAGAATACATTTTATATTGCTAGTTACAAGATTAACACTTACTGGACTAAAAAACGTAGGCTTACTTGATTCTTCATACATAATTTTCAGACATATCATCAAAATGTGAGCTTCAAATATGATACAACAGGTTTTTGAGGAACGTTTCTTTGTTCATCTTTCAATCATTATCGTACTGCATCGCACTGTTTTGCTTCCACAATAAAAACTAAGATATTTGATCATTTAAATAGCATCTCATTAAAACGCATTATTGGTAGATATAGAGCAACAACTAATATTTATGACACTTACAACTGATATATTCATTGATTTATATTACAAGTTAACAAACTTTTTGGCCATACAAATATCAGCAACTGCACAAAATTGCATTCTTTCCTCTCAGTTTGGGTCTGAAATTTGGAATAAAACTGTTTTTTTTTCATCCTTACATACGAGATCCATATTTCTCCTATGTAAAACAATAAATAAAAAAATGGGCAAACTTTTATTTTGTCTTTTTTTTTTTTTTTTACTATTTTTTTATATATCAGTACAGGGTTCATAAATGAAATGCTGGCAACACCCAGCCATCTTTCCACATTACTCTTGTTCTTTGTTTGCATCTTAAATTGGCATGTGTACATTGACAACGTCAAGCGCTACCCTCCGCTGTAACCCCAGCCAGCAAAGCGCTCTGACAGGCATTTTGCACCAGTGCTCTGACTCACTCTCTAACCTAATGAATTTGAACTCCAGATCCCAAGATTCCATTTGTGTCTATTCTGGGCAGAAAACATCAGGTTCAGATTCCAGATTGAGAAACCCACAGTGAGTTTGTACACATGTTCTTATTTAATGTTCTGTTAATTATTAATAATGGAGAAGATGATAAATACAACAACTGGTGCATTCCCAAGACATACAGAGAATGCATATAAAGGGAAAATGAGTTAGAAATTATGTTCTAAAACATAGTTTTATCATAGTCAGTCATAAAACTATTAATAACTGGTACCATGAAACATGCCAGACTGTATAATGATCGACACACATGCTCTTTTTGTGGTCAGACTCTTGAAAAATCCAAACAAACCCTCAGTGAATAATTACAAATTATTGCAAAATGTAGTTAGCAGTTATATTGCATTCTTTAGTTGGACCTTTACATCCCCATCAACCCCAGAAATGAAGCAATCGCTTTCTGGGTTATTAGATTTAGCACATGAATAGAGAGCGCTTGCGCAGAAGCTGTAATATCGACATATTACAATATCAACCTGCTCACGTGTGAAAAGTAAGAAAAGATTCTGGTATAAAAAATATGCCACCTTTCCTTTAGAAAAGCAAACACTTTATTTTATTCTAACTATTAACAAGCATGCATATTACTAGCATATTGGCTGTTTTACATCCCCATCAACCCCAGAAATTAAGCAATCGCTTTCTGGGTTATTAGATTTAGCACATGAATAGAGAGCGCTTGCGCAGAAGCTGTAATATCAACATATTACAATATCAACCTGCTCACGTGTGAAAAGTAAGAAAAGATTCTGGTATAAAAAATATGCCACCTTTCCTTTAGAAAAGCAAACACTTTATTTTATTCTAACTATTAACAAGCATGCATATTACTAGCATATTGGCTGTTTATATAAAGCACATATTAAAGGCTCATTCTGCATGACCATAATTAGATTCTCCATACGGAAACTTACCTTACTAATTATTAATAGGCAGCAAATTAAGAGTTTATTGAGGCAAAAGTACTAGTTAATAGTAGGGCTGGGTATTGACACAAATTTCACAGTTCAATTTGATTTCTATTCACAAGCCTGAGATTCGATTCTGATTTTCATTCGATTCAATATCAATTATTTTGGATATATATCAGGTACAGTACATGACAAAAGAAAAAAAAAATCTCTCAACTAATGCTGTAAAAAATGCATGAGACTCAGCTGGTACTAAAATTAACTGATTTGCATGCAAACACTTAAATTATATTACATTTTAAAATGAAAAACTTAGTTATAATAGTAACTTTACAATTACATAAGTATATTTCCACTCCAATTCGTTTTTTGAAATATAAACATTTAAATGGTGGCTGTCATAAAAACCTGACCGATTTATTCAAACATAAAGAGTATAGAGTAGAGTATAATGAATATGTTATATGGTGCATATATTTAGTCATTTTTCTAGCTGACTAATGAGTTAATTGTCACCGAATATTTTTTTTTCTGAGACGTGACCTTATGTGACCTACTGTTTAGGCTACAAGCTGTTATATTGACATCTTTCTGCAGTTGAAACACTGATTGAGACAGAATACGCATTTCAGTAAGTTGTACCCTTTCTTTTAACATATATTTGGATGGTTATTCATGTTTATTTCGTGCTGTAACTGGTATTAAAGCGGAGGTATTAAAGCACACTGCCGCTTCTCTTGAACTGAGGTGCTACAGCGATCTGTCACTCCACATGACTGTAAGATGCAAACTCGCAATTGCAAGAAAAAAGTCAGAATTGTGAGATAAAAAGTCACAATTGCCTATTTTTATTTTTATTCAGTGGCAGAAACGGCTTCCATAGTATGGTGTTTATCTTCACTTTTAAAATATGCATTATTATTATCTGCATGTATCATTTCCTGGGGTCATGACCCCATCATTTGCACCCTCCCTCCAGCAGTTTAATTTCTCCTGAGAGACTCGTGTAACTGTAAGGACTGAACTCACCATCCTACAGGAAGCAGGTTTATACAGACAGCCAAACTTGAACAGCTCTCACCCAAGTTGACTTATATAGATAATAAAACAATGGATCTTCACATAAGCTGCAACATAAAGCTGTTTTCACTTCTGTATCTGGCACTGCACTGTAAGTGTTTTAAACTCATATTTCTCCTCAACTATTTCAAGTTTGTTATTTGATGTTTAAATAATATTGCTGTTTTAAATTTCATATCTGTTTTTTTATATATTTTTATGATTTTTTACTACTGATTTATTTTACTACTTTTAAGGATAATATACTCATGAGTTTATTTAAAATGTATATATAATTTAGTTTTTAAAGTAGACTTTCCAATTTTACCAAACACTAATAATTAGTGCTGTCAAACGATTAATCGCGATTAATCGCATCCAAAATAAAAGAGAAAAATTATATTTATATATTATATATAAATATATTTAATATATAAACATAACATATTTTTCTTTGCATGTGTGTGTATTTATATATACACAATAAATATGCACAGTACACACTCACATATTATGTAAACAAAAACGTTTATTTTGGATGCGATTAATCGCGATGAATCGTTTTACTGCACTACTAATAATATTGAGAATATTCATGATCTGAATATATTTCTTCATTATTTACTCTACATAAACGTTTCACTGTGCATTTAATTTCAGGCTTTTTATGGAAGACTTCATTGAACGTCTCTGTGCAGCAGGGCCAAAATGTCACACTGAGCTGCCCATTGATGATCAACAGCAGTAAAGGGGTTTTGAGCTGGTATAAACAGACTCCATGGCACGGGCCACAGCTGATCCTCTCCTACAATATCACCAACACTTCACGGGTGCGCCGCGGCACGGGACTGGACCACAGCAGATACACCGTCTTAACCAGGGAAGGGTTAAACCTTCGTCACCTCTTACAAATCCTCACAACTTTACAAAATGACACTGGAACTTATTATTGCGGGTTTTCAGACAAAAACCAGACGCACATGTTTGACAACTGAATGCAAATGCTGCATTATGTATTATGTTTTAGATATTTACTGATCTTAAATGCATCCTTGTGCAAATGAACTTTATTTATGGAAAACACTTTTCCATCAGTGTCTAGTTCATGAAAGCTATCTTCTTAATGTTCCAATATTTCTGGCTTGCATTGCAAAACCTGCAAACTTTGCTCTAATTGGATTAGTTGGCTCCCAGGAGATCTGTGCAGAAGTGCTGGCAGTGTTGTGATAGAACGAGCATCTGTCTGTGCCAGTAAACCAACGGCTCTTTCCTGTTTTTTAGGTCCCTCTTAACCGAATAACAGTCAAATATGTTTTTAACACACTGAAACTTTATGGTGTATAACAGAAAAGAAAAACAATATTTTCTTTTCAGCATATCATGGAAAAATATTAATAAACACAACAGCAATTGTGTACTTGCATCTGATCTGCACTTCAGATAATCTATACATTCCAGTAAAAAAAAAGTTTATATTATATTATATTATATTATATTACAGAAGTCAAACTAACAAAGCACTGCATCTGTGGATAAAAAACCTATTAGACCTAGCACATGTAGCATAAACTATGAAATGTAAATGATTCATTGTGATTTTGAAAAGTGAAAGATATGATTGTATAAAATAGCATAAAATAACACGGTGCCCACCCAGCATGGTTATTATTGTTGACTAACTAAAACCATAAAAAAGGGGGGAAAAAACAAACATTTTCAATACTTGAAATAAAATAAACAATAGCTGAAATAAAATAACATATTAAAAACATTCTCAATTTTTATATACTGTAGTTTAACTATACTAAAATAGAAAAAAATTGAAATAAAATGTATAAAAACTATGTAGACAAAAATAAAATAATGTAAATAATAAAAACTACAAAACACATAAACGATAACTGAAATAAAATAAAATATGAAAAACATTCTCAATTTTATATAGTTTAACTTGTACTAAAATAAAAAAAAAATGAAATAAAAATGAATAAAAACTATGTAGACAAAAATAAAATAATGTAAATAATAAAAACTACAAAGCACATAAACGATAACTGAAATAAAATAAAATATGAAAAACATTCTCAATTTTTATGTAGTTTAACTTGTAATGTACTAAAATAAAAAATTGAAATAAAAATGAATAAAAACTATGTAGACAAAAATAAAATAAATCTTTGAAATAAATAAATAAAACTAAAATTGAAAAGAAATTGGAACGTATAGAATAAAATTGATTAATTAAATAATAAATAAAATTATTAGCTATCAGTGATAGTAAAATGAAACTGCTGCAGACACCACTGATTGTAAAATACTATTAAATAAATATTTTACATTTTATAACATATATTAAAATACAATTTTCAAGATTTCATTGTAATAAAATATTTCTGTTAATGTTAAAAACATGAATTTCCTAAAGCCTGATTCATTGACCCTGTGAAGGAATCAACAGTGTAATGGTTGATTGCTTTTAAATGGACCATCTGCACACGGCTTATGAGCACATGGGACGTTCTTCCCTCAACCGTCAACCTCTGTGTCAACTTCATAACACAACACTGAATCAAATCAAGCTTCACTGGCTCTAGAGGGAAGTTATATCTCAGACAGCATTCGCTCACAAACACAACACATATAAAGAAATTCAATGAAACAGAAAAGAAATGAACAGGAATAGAAAGGCGACTAGTGTGATTATCATTATTATCTCACTTCTTCTGCTGCGTTAAGACTTTAAAGCCAAAATCGAATAAATCAATTACTGTCTTGATCATATAGCTCATTGGAGATTTCTATTACAGCATTGCTTCAGGTGAGAAGGACACAATGAACCAGATGTTTAGCAGAGGACTTCGACTTATTGTGGAAGGTAAGAGATGATTTCAGGAAGTTCAGAAATGTGGTTTTGCTCAGTTTATAACATCATTTAACATCAGTTAATTCATCATTAACATGTTTTTCAGTTCCTCACATCCGTGTTGAACGGCAGGTGACTCCGAAAGTGCATGTTCTTCTCCCTGCTGGAGGTCAGAAGCAGCGATCAGAGAGAGTGACGCTGGCGTGTGTCATCACCGGCTTACAGTCTAAAGCGCTGAGGATCACATGGAAGGTAAACGGAGCCACAGGTCTGAAAAAACACGCCAGCTCTCCACAAGTGCACCGAGAGCCTGGAGGCACATTCTGGGCTGTGGGACTGTACTCGGTTCTGGCTCATAAATGGAGTGCTGAGAATAAGTACAGGTGTGAGGTGACATACAAAGCGGTGTTTCACTATGATAAGGCAGAGTCGTCTCTCTGCAGTCCTCCTGAGGGACTGTAACTGTGTCCTGGGTTAGAGATTCTCTAAATTGCATGAGATCCATCTGCTGACCACTGAGCTGGAGCTCATATTTCACTTAAAAATCTAAAGAGGGGAAAAAAGGACAATATATTTTCTAAAGTAACTTTGTTTCTAAAGTCTAAAGAATTCTACATTTTTCACATTATTTTGATGATGTTTGCCTCCCAAATTGTCATTATAGCTGATGCATTTGGACATTTAATACAATAGTTTTTAGGTGAATCATCATAAATTGAGGGCAGCAAAATAAAATACTAATGATATATATGTATATATATATATATATATATATATATATATATAAACATGTCATGATATAAAAACAAAACAGGCTTCATTTTCTTTAAACATATTATTATTATTATTATTATCTTAAATTTGCCATGAAAACTGACTGTATATACTGTTTTGTTTTGTTTCTGTGGTTAGCTAGCCAAATTATTCTGCTTTAATGCGAAGCAAACAAAATATGACTGTTTCAATTACAAATTTAAATGGGAAAAAAAGTGTAATAAAAAATCTGTCAACTGTTTTTAAAAGAATTCTGAATATTTGTATTGTCTCATTATTTTCACAATATTGTTTTGTTTTGTTTTGCAACTCTTCCTTGTTTAGCTAGCCAAGCAAAAAAAAAAGGTTATTGTACAGTGCAATCTTCCTACACAATGATATTAAAGAAATCTGTATAATAGCTATATTACATATTTAATATGCTATATATTTACACGTCCAACAATGGCTCATATATATAATAACTTTATTATATATATATGTGTAGTGTGTGTGTGTGTGTGTGTGTGTGTGTGTGTGTGTGTGCTCTTTTGTGTTGACTAAACAGCTTGTATTATGTATGTTTTGGGATGTGGTAATGAGGTTAGTGTATGAAAGGCCACATGGAAAAATACTATAGTATACTTTAGTATTCGATGTAGTAAATTGTAGTTTACTGTAGTATATTGTAATCATTACTACACTTTGTTAATGCATACTACAGTATTCTATAGTATTCGTGAATTGATAAACCATATTGGCAAACCATTTTACTATGGTAAGGTTCAAAAACACTATTGTATCTAGGAATAGTACTACAGTTTACTATAGTAAAAACAAAAGTATACTACAGTATTTTTCATACGGGAGTGGTGAACTTAATGTTTTTTAGGGCGCACAGCTTTTGCTGTTCAGTTGTAAACTAGTTATCTTGTGTGCCTGTGGCTGAGCACATCCCAAATCAGGTGCCTTTAATTGCTAACAGTTCTCTGTGAAGGTCATTCCTGCAGAACTGTAATGGTACCATAATGGTAATCAGTGTTGTCCTATCAGTCTGACCTGCTGTTAGTAGTGTTGCTGTAGGTGTCTGTAGAGGTTTCACCTATATACAAGTCTGATAGTCATATCATAATGTTTCTCTTTAGTGACAGTAACAATGTAGTTGAGAAGGAGAAAAGCAGCAGAGATTTCGTCAGGAATCGCGGCTTAACACTAAAAAAACAGTCACAAAATACTCAATAAGTGTTTTTTTTTTTTTTTTTACCGTTTTGTTTATATGCAAGAGAAACATTCTTCTGTTGAACATCTGTTAAAGGATTTAATGTGCTTTCATAATATCGAAAAATGTTCGGTATTAACTTTTATGTTTATGAACCGTTATAATTAAGTTCACACATTTGAGAGGTGTTTTTTTTTTTTTTTCTTTAC